CATTGCTACATTTTCCTTCCCAAAGGTGAAATTCACTTGCACTTTATCAATGGTGTAGTAGAATTCTCACTCTGACCACTTCATCATTAAAAACATCTTCCAACATGGTAAGCAAAGAAATGGTATTTCATTCCTTCATTTGTGTTTCTTTAATGACCAGGGAGATTGAACAATTTTGCCATTTCGTTTAAAAAATAATTTTAATACTTTGGGCTATTTATAACTACTTACAATGCCTATTGCTGATGAAAGGGAATCATTTTAACTCACAAGGAGTAGTCATAGGTCACTGTCAGAGCCAGTGCTGCAAAGAAGATATTCAAAACTCTGGGAGAGCAGGTTGACTCCCTTGGAGCTCCTTTGGAGACACATGGGGAATGCACTGGCACAGGTACTAAGATGTCCACAACTTTAGGTTATAACGACTTTCCAGCTGGGACAGAGCAAAGGTCAAATTACCGTTGATTATTTTGGAGGGTATGAACTCTCATCCAGAAGCTTCAAGTCCTATTTCCACAGGAAGGAATACACTCATGATGCAAATGTATAACTCTCAATCTCATCTCAACCCCCTCTGTATCTTGTCCTCCCATCACCCTCCGCCACTCTCCTTCCTCTCTCCCACCAACACGACAGGCTCCTTCCTGCCCCATGCCCTTTGTTCCGATCTCTCCACCAGGGATTCCTTCCACGCCACTTCCTCAGTGGCTTTTTCCTCTCATAGCGGTCATAGCATATAAGTCACCTCTTTAGACAGGCCCTCCCAATCTAGAGCATCCCCAGTCACTCTTGTACCATCCTGTCTAATTCTCTGGACAGTCTTCCAAGTCTAGTATTTGGTGGGAAGGAAACCTTGATGAGGATACAATGTCCTTCGGATGAAGGCAGCTATCACTAAAGTGTCATCTTCCTGACCACTATATTAAAATTGTGCCCATACACCCAACATTACCAGTTCTCATTCCCTGCTTTTTCTCCACAACACACTCTTTTCTAATATAGTATATATTTTACTTTTCTTTCCTTTTTTTTTTTTTGAGTTGGAGTCTCACTCTGTCACCCAGACTGGAGTG